TTAAGGCAGCTGATCATTTCTTAATAATGCCAGGGAAGACCTCCATCCCTTCGGTTTTTATCGTTCCGAATCTAGAGGACATTATGTTTTCCAAGTCCAACAGTTTGAAACCTTATATGACCCAGCAGCTACCTCAAACCCAGCAAAGCTAAGTCATTAGACATCTTTTGACAATATTTGAGGGTTTGGCATACATAATTGGATCACAGAGATCATATCAACTTGATTAGCACAACCACCAACAACATTTTGTTGGAGAAAGAATATGTGCTGAAAATCGAAGCTCCATTTGCAGCCTGCCGAAACAAGGTGCCAACCCTGTCATAGTAGGTCGTTGATACTGTATTGTTCCAAAATAAAAACACCATGTTCAAGCATTTAAAAAGATAAAACAACAAAATTAGACAAGTAAACTTTATGTATGCCCAATCAGAAAAGTAAATTTTAGATGATACATCTTGCTAACAGGTTATTATTCAGTAGTCTTAGATGAACAAAAATTATAGTACAAATCGTGAAAACAAAACTGTCTCCTAGTTTATTTTACAAATACCGGGCATGCGTAATTTTTTACATAAACAAACAAACAAACATCTACAAAGTAGAAACACTGAAAATTTTGTAAAATAAGTTTATGGGAAAGATTAAATGACCAAAATCAATAAATTAAAGAAGACATTTATGATAAAAATTACCTAGGGCTCGCGACATGTTAAGTATCCCATAAACTCGAACCCCATTTTGATAAACAAGCTTACCCCCTGCTGCTCGAATCCTCTCCAGTTCGTCTGGCCTCTCAGGCTGCAGCCATGAAACAGCCCAACCGCGATCATTATTAATTAGAAAAGTAGTAGTATTCAATTTCTGAGGCCGACAAAATCAGAAAGGCGGAGTATCCCCGTTTGAATGAGACAAGTGGAGTTAACCGGGGTACGACACTTTTTAGTTCCTGAAGCACTTAACACGAAACGAGTGTTCTTTACTTTAAAAGGCTCAAACCTTGTGGTCCAGAGAGAGAGGAATGGCTCTCCCAGCACGACAGAGAACGGCGCCTGAAGCAATGCAGTTGGCGACAACCACATGATAAGGGGTGAGGATTGCAACGACAGCAGTGGACCCCGCAAAACCCACCTCCACTGACTGGCGCAGGCGCACGTGCTCAGTGCCACCTGATCCATCCTCAGGAGGCTTTTCTCTAAAGCTGCCCGCACTAAACCCTCCCACTCTTCCACTCTACCCACCTCTGCGTTTTTAATTCTCTCTGCTGGAAAGGAGCTGCCAGTGCCATTGCCGCTGCTGCTACTGCGGCCATCGCTGGTTGCGGCTGCTTTTTCTGTCGACAGCCTCGTCAGCTCCTCTGCCATGATTGTATGCATCATGTTCTTGCGGAGAGTTGAGACCTAAATATTTTAATTTTGATTTCACGTATGAGTATATCTTTAGAAAAAGTTCTATATGATAGAGATAAAATCCAAAAGAAATGAAGGTAAAGACATATGGCCAGACAATTACATGAGGTCCACCATGTCTTTCGTTCGGGATAATCAACTAATTAACCCAAGGAAGTGGATGGTTTTTAACATTAATTATTACCCAAATTCAACACATTCTTTTGTTCTTTTTGGTATTCTTGGCTTATAAATTAGAGTTTAACTTGCAGTATTATAGTAATTCATGTTGTGTTGATTAATTAATAGACTTGGATTATTTTAGAATGATATATCTATATATATGCTGCCAGAGTAATGTGATGATTAATGATTTTTCTCCAAGCAACTTATATTGTTAAAAATTTTTAAAATGTTACTTGTATAAATTTTATTGGTAATCAATGATTATATTCCCTATGCCACAGTTATATATTAGACTAAAATTATGTTCTGGCCGTGTACAAAGTATTTTATTACCTTTTTTTAGTACTAATTTTTATTTACTTTTATCTTATAGACTTACACAGAAAACTTTTACAGAAATAAATAACGTGATCAACAATCAGAAAAATAATTGCCCATCTTTTGAGTTCTTATTCAACTTGACAGGACTCAAGGCATTCCTCTGACTATTCAACATGTGCTAAGTGCCACCTCACCCGTCGGTGACTAGGTTCAATTTCCTTGATTGGTTTTGAATTTTGAGCACCACTCTGCCCTTACACGGCATCTTAAGGAGTATTTACACTCCTATAGCCAATTTATTTGTCCTCTTCATTGCGGTCTTCGACACCAAAAAGCATCACTTGCATTTTTCGCACTACTAAAGTAAGGAATAAAAGGAGAATTGTAAGTAAAGGAGACTTCCATTGTTTGGTACCATGATGAGGCACCCAAAAACCAAGACTCATCAGTTGGTTAAGTTGCAGATATTGTTACAATTTGAAGCAGATACACCTTCCCTTATGAAGTTATGATCATATGGCACTCTCAGGATATAAGGACAATTCCATATGCATCTCTCAATCTTTGCCATTTCATATCCTATCATAAAATCAGAGTCATTTCAATTCTATCATACATATGCAAGGATATTACTCTGCAACTACAATTACCTGTGCATGTTTTATCATCATGAGACATTTACAATGTTCATATGAAATACATTGACACTAATGGATATTTCCAAGGTAATACATTGCTTTACCTCAGCTCGGTTTCTCCTCAACTTTCCTTTAGATCAACAACAATGACACTAATGTTATCAGAACTTTTTCGTCCCAAAGCTAGGCGAGTAAGCAGTGCAGCAGCAAGAACACTTCGAGATGGATACAATGTTTCAGCCCCTTCATCTCCTTTGTTAGGTCCTGCATTGAGGTTCAATGCAGAAGCAGTAGCACCATTACTTCCTTCTTTAAGACATTCGCGAGCCACTTCACAAGCCAAGTCACAAGACAGAACATCCCACAGACCATCACTTGCAAGAATTAAGCACTCATCCTCTGGTTCTCTCTTAGTAAATGTTATCTCGGGTTCTGATGTTACAACCGGTTTCAGGTATTTGTCTCCTGTTCAGAACCATAAAGAGTAAGCATTTATGGCATCAGTATTTGAAACAAAATCAACTAACAGAGTAAGTTAGATTTGATGCCATAGCACAACACAACAAACTTAGAATCTGTCTTGGTTTTTCATATTATCAGGTGCACCATTCAGGAGCAATAGGGCATACTCTATATGATACAATACAACTGAATAGAATTACTTCCAAACAAACAAATTCAAGTCTCAGCTTGTCAAATACAAGCAACTTGGTTCTACTATCTTTTGGTATTTTTGAGTCATCTTATATCCCCCAAATTGATTTAGCATTACCACAATATTGCTCAAATCAATTACTTCCAGTTATTTCTGAATTTGGAATTAGTCTGAAATAAAAGACTTAGTTAGCATCTAAAACATAAGATTCTTCCTTCTACACCTTTGTAGAAACCAAATTGGAAAGATCTTCAAAATAAACTTGAATAAAATCATGGATTTGGCAGATTTGAACTTCATATTACAACAGAAGACTACCATCTGGCAATCTCAGTTTGAAAGAATTCATGTCATGGGCAATTTGAGAATGGCATATGGATTCATGGAGACCATAATCTATTTAAAGCTATAAGCATTCTTTTCATTATTCCAGTTAAAACACCAGCAATACCCAGAGCTAGAGTTAATGATGGCATTGACTAAATTAGCCAACTCTAACAAGGTAATAGATATATCAAATCGTTTTCTAGCTTCCAAAGTAGCTATGACCTGACCAAAGCCAGATGGAAGTATGACATTATAATTATCAAGGATCAACCACAATCCATCACAGAACCAAAATTTGAATGTAATCAATAATATAAGACAACAGAAATGAGCAACTCAACAGCTCCAAATGAAAGGTAAAATTAAAGGAATTGAATGCCACTGACAACAATGTTCGTACAAATCCAATGATGACTCAAGACCCCCAAGACATCAGTTAAAATTGTAAGAATATACAAGGCGTCTGAGATCATTCATTGCTCCATTTTTAATTTCAGAAATAGAACCTAAATTGTATAGCTGAGTTGATTTTAAGGGATACAATATATAAGGGAAAAAGGTCATACAAGAATTGATATTATTGGAAACTGAGACGTCCAACATGGATACGCCTCCCAATTTGAAAGTCCATCCAACACTGAGAACAGAGAAAAGTGAAGCACATCCATGACAGAGAAAACAAGATTATCTACAGCTTTCAAAAGGGGCAGTTTTTTATATTTTTTTTATAGAATTTACTATGATAAGATAGAAATCCAATTATACATTGAAACATAATGCAATGCAATTAGAAGAATAGTAAAGAATTGTATGGATCGCGTAATGCACAAGACAACCCATTCTTGCAGAGGCCATAACTTCCTCTGCAATTAATGATTATAGTAAGAACAAAATGAAATGATCATCGAATTTTAAATCCAGAAAACCTTACCTATTGCCCTAGACATAGCAAGAATGCCTTCAACTCGTGCTCCATTTACAAAGATTACCTGACCTCCGGCAGCTGCAATTCGCGCAAATTCATCTGATCTGTCCGGCTGAAAGTGAAAGCAATGTTGGAAAATGATATACTTCATATTTTAGTCAATTCAAATTTCTGTTAAAAAAGAAAACATCACTGGCTAAGATAGAAACCAATACAAAATAAGACATCACCAGGCCTGTTAGTGTAAGATTTTTAATCATAAAGGGATCATTAAAATAATTTCAACGTAATGTCTTATTAGTTAGTACTGTTAACTACAGCCAGTCAATAACTTTTGTCTGTACTTTTGTAACATAAGAATAAACAAAGTATAACTTAATCTACAATCACATAGACCAAAGTTAATAAAAAATTCCAAAAAGAAGCTATCAACCTTAAAAAAATAATATACTAACAAATTGATCATAAAATACTGTATTATAATCGTCAAAGTGCCAGACGTCAGCTAAATATGGGGCGTTTCCGCCTCATCAAGCTCGAAGACATTCGTTAAAAATAAACCGAACCTTGTGATCGAAACTTAGAGGTACGGCCTTCACGCCGCGGCAGAGGACGGCGCGTGAGTCGCCGCAATTGGCGACCACGATGTGCTCCGACGTTAACAGGGCCACCACGGCGGTGGACCCACCGAGGGCCACCTCCATTGAGTGGCACCCACACTGGTGCCCCACAATCCCACATGCGCACGTGCGTATTGCCACCTCATCCATTCTCTCAAAACTCCTCTGCATCACTCTTCTCCAACTCTCTTCGTGCTCGTCCTCTTGTGAGCTGCTGTCTCTCCCACACTCGCTCTGTCCTGTGCACTTCACGCCCATCAACTCTTCCTCTACGAACACGTGCATCTTTTCCCTGCACAGTGCTGCCACCTGCGCGAAAAGGCCATTAGAAAGCAATATCCAGAAATCAGACTGCAAAATGACGGATTCGCCCCTACTCCAAGTTAAAACGCCTGCCGCCTGTTTTGTGAAAACTAGTGAGCGCCATTCTTTTTTTTTTTTTTCCTGAAAGCTTCTTTTTCTTTTTAAAAGAAGGAAAACGATTAGTGAGAAAATTAAGTGTTAATAAATTAAAACTTTACATGAGGGCCACCATGTCCGTCATAAACAGCGAAGAAATGCACCGGTTTTTTAAGATTAACATCGGGCCGGCAGAGGCTGGTCCGTACAGAAATGGCATCCTCCATCTCACGTGACCTCCCGGAAATCGACATCATCCCGAACACAGGCCCATTCGTCATAGTCACTTTCCGCTCCCTGGCCGTCGGCTCAACCTCCTCGCCGGAAAAAGTACACATAGTGGCAGTCGCCAGCAGATCGCTGGCCTCCACCATACGTAGTCGCTTCCCCTCCGGAACGCAACCTGAGCTATCTGCATGACCCTCCCTTTGTCTCTGAGTCGGAAACGCCGCCATGCTAGAAGCTGAAATTGCCGCAAGCCTCCTCATCTGGATCCTCCTGCGACGCCGTTGCCGGCACTTGGCCGGCGAATCAGCATCGTCTTGGCTCAGCATTCTCCTTTAAACCTCCGTCATTGAAAGTTCTCAGTAAATAACAAACATCTCGTCCCACTGAGTATTATCCAATAAAAATTTCCTCGTAGCTTCTCCCCTCAACCGCCGATCATCTCCGGCGAAACATTTAGTAATAAACGGAGAACAGAGCATAAAAATAAAAGAAAAGGGGAAATAGAGGTGGGCACAGAGAGGAACAAATTGTTTTTTGAAACGTATGAGAGAAACAGGCAACGTGTAGCGTTTTGTTCTGTTTTTTGCGAAAGCCTTCTTCAGGGCATGCCAGCTTCATGCGCAGCTGCCCTTGTTGCCCGATGCTACCCGTTACTGACCATCATTTGCTTCCGTCCTGACACGTGTATACCCTTGCGCTTCATCTTTCCGTAAAATGTCTTCTCATTGCTTCCTGTGAAGTCAATTTCGCGTATCGCGATATATTCGCGGAACTTTTTGAAGATGATCTGGGTAGAAGAACACGTGTCAGGAAATTCTGATAACTGGCAGCCCAACCTCTTTGAATGGTACAAGTGGGACACCTAGGCAGTCGCCACCTGTATCTAAATAAATTAATGGGGATGGCCCACAAGGAATACGTTTCGGCGGTTCTTTTCCACCGGAAGGAAATTAGAAATGTTTGTTTGTTTAACTTTTTTCTCTCTCCTGGAATGGGGAGGCCTTATTCACGTGGCGGACTGTGGCGATTGGCGAACTTCGTTGGAAGTGACTGCGATTGGCGAACTTCGTTGGAAGCGCATGTGAGTTGTGGCTTGGCTTTGCCTTCCCTGTTGACAAGATTTGTTACACGTGTTGACCATGAGGGAGCATTCGACGGTAACGTTAGCCCTTTTTCCTTATCCACTTAATGGAAGCAATGTGCAGGTGATAGGACACGTGGGCGATTTTGGAATTAGCCAAAGAGAAATTGTCATGTGGGATAGACTTGGAGAGGTTGGAAATTTGATCGGAAGGCGTAATGATGTAACGTACTTTGATTGAGAGTGTCAAATTATAATGGTACAGGTTTCAGAAATCGTGCTGTGCTTGCTTTTTGGCTAACAATGGCAGTCTTCAGTTGTACTCCTTCCTCTGTTTTGGTGCACAACCGTCTCGCAACAATCATAACCGGATGTCTAGATAATTTTTTTTAAAATTTGTTTAAGTGTTTAAACTCTATCTTTTCGTGTTCGCCCATTCAAATTTTATTTTAATTAAATTTATTATTAATATATATTAATATTTTTAAATATATTTAAATTAAAATTTATATTAATAAAATGATATTCAAGTTAAATTATTTATAAAAAAAATTATTTAAAACTCATCACAAATCAAAGATTCATCAACTAAGCAAATTGATTTGACACATAAAAAGTAACAAAATTTATAATTGATTGTCTTTTTGAAAAAAATGTTTTTATTAATATTATCAATTTATAAAAATTGAAACCAGCGGGCTTTCTTCTTGTATTATTTTTCTATCACCTCACATTTTTTTTCAAATAATTATTACTAATTATGATTAAATATGATAAAAAATATAAAAAATCATAAAATTAGTATTTAAAATCAATCTATATCATTGTGTGGATGATAGATAGCAAGTCTTTTACATAGAAATCACAAATGAGATAATAATGTTTAAACATAATTCACAGCCATTTTCATAAAATGCTTAATGTACAATTGAGATGCCTAAATCCTCATATTTCTCTAATTTATGTTTCTTCTTTGGACAACACATTCAAGATGTATGTATACATGTTTATGCTTGTGATAGACAAACACACCTTTTTTTAACCTACCTTTCACTTACAAAATCTATCAATTATAACTTAAATTTAAATGATGTGAATAAAATATCCTATCATTTTAGGTTTCCAAGTATGTCATTTTAAAATCTTAAGCATATACAATTTGATAAAATCAGTAACAATATATGCATTAATGTAGAATTGGTGTGTCCATTATGTGGAGTTGAGGAGGAAACTACATTTTATTGCTTGTGTACTTGTGGCTTTGCACAAGCTATCTAGCTAGCTTTAAGGTAGGGCTTCAAGGATATTCAAAGTTAGTGTTCGTTTGTCACAAAATAGCTTCTATTGTTGTTAGATAAGATAGAGCAAACAGATGTATAGGAGATTGTAAGTATTCTACGGTCAATATGGAAGGCTAGAAATAATTTAATATTTAAACAAGAACATTCGAACCCCAAAAAGGTTTTGGAGCTAAGATTAAACATGGTGTGACAATGGCCACTATTTCCCCTTATAAAGGGTTATTTTGGTAAAGAGAGAGAGGATATGTTGCAATGAGTGAATCAAAATGCATTAAAGGCGGTAAAGAGTAAAACTGGAGTAGTCTTTGAAACCTAAGTGCTTTAGGTAGCAAGTGGTGAGAGATGAGAAAAGGTGAAGGAAGTGACAGATTACGACGAATGAGAAAGGCTTAATGGAAAGAATGCTTGGATGAGTCTTGAGAAAGCTTTTAGTATGATCTCTATTGGATTTCTAATGATTTCTCATTATTTCCCAACCTTCAAGGCTCTGTTCAATCATGGGTGAACATGCTCGTCAACGAAGAACAATTAAAGAATGGTTTGTGAGATATTAAGAACATGACAATGTAGTTCAGTAGTGGGCGTAAGTTTTGGGTAATAGAATAGTGACACTTGATAATGCACCACGTGTATTCTTAAGGAAGAAAAAATATGGTAAAGCATATGTACTTCAAGAAAAAGTTAAAAGAAAGTCCTTTTAACTATCTTCATATCTGAGCTACCAAGCGAAACTCTCTAGAACATTCTAAATCTAAAGGTAACTCATGAACCATGCCATTTATTCTTAATTACTTTCACTTTCTCATACAAACAACTGTTCCATACTTGTTCATGAGTGTTTTCGCACTTGGAACACTCTTGAGTGCTCTAAATTTGAGAACATCCTTGGACACATCTGTGCTCGAAACACCCCTAGGCGTTTCCTCTCTTGGAATACTTTGGGTTCTTCCCCACTTGGAACACCCTTGAGCTCTATTATACTTGGAACACCCTTAAACGGTTCTGCACTTGAAATATTCTTGAGCGCTTCCATACTTAGAACACCCTTAGGCGCTTAAGTGTTAGAAACACCCTTGGTGCTTCCGCGCTTGTAACGACCCTTGGTGTTTCTACATTTGGAACACTATTGGGAGTTTTTGCGTTTAAAACACTCTTAGGCGCTTCTGCACTTAGAACATCCTCAGGCACTTCTGCATTTAGAATTGGTGTGTCTATTATGTGGAGTTGAGGAGGAAACTACATTTTATTGCTTGTGTACTTATGGCTTTGCACAGGTTGTCTAGCTAGCTTTAAGCTTCAAGGATATTCAAAGTCAACATTCGTTTATCGCAGAATAGCTTCTGTTGTTGTTAGATAAGATGGGGCAAATAGATGTAGAGGAGATTGTATGCATTCTATAGTCAATATGGAAGGCTAAAAATAATTTAATATTTAAACAAGAACATTTGAACCCTAAAAAGGTTTTGAAGCTAGGATTAAACATGGTGTGGCAATATATAATGGCTACTATTTCCCCTTGTAAATGGTTATTTTAGTAAAGAGAGAGATGATGTGTTGCAATGAGTGAATCGAAATGCGTTAGAGGCAGCAAAGAGGAAGACTGGAGCAGTCCTTGAAGCGTAAATGCTTTGGGTGGCCGGTGGTGAGGGATGAAAATAGGTGAAAGAAGTAACGAATCACAACGAATGAGAAAGGCTGAATGGAAAAAATGCTTTGAGGAGTCTTCAGAGAGCATTTAGTATATTCTCTGCTAGATTTCTAATGATTTCTCATTGTCTCCTAACTTTTAAGGCTCTCATATTTATACTAATCAATAACACATTCTTATGAGTAGTTGGGAGAACACATTCAATCATAGATGAACATGTTTGTCATGGAAGAATAGTTAAAAGAATGGTTTATGGCATATTAAAAAAATGGCAATATAGTTGAGTAGTGGGTGTAAGTCTTGGGTAATGGAATAATGACATTTGATAATGCACCATGTGTATTCTTAAGAAAGAAAAAAAAAGGTATTAAAGTATATGTACTTCAAAGAAAGGTTAAAATGAAGTCTTCGTAACTATCTTCATATCTGAGTCATCAAGCTAAACTCCCTAGAACATCCCAAATCTGAAGGTAACTCATGAACTCTCTCACTTATTCTGAATTACTTTCACTTTCCCATACAAACAATTGTTCCATGCTTGTTCCTGAGTGTTTCCGCACTTGGAACACTCTTGGGTGCTCTCATGCTAGGAACGACCTTGGGCACTTTTGTGCTTGAAACATCCTTAGGCGTTTCCATGCTTGAAAGACTTTGGGTGTTTCCCCACTTGGAACGCCGTTGAGCACTTCCTTGCTTAGAGCACCTTAGGGTGTTTTCACTTTTAGAACACCTTTGGAGGCTTTTATGCTTGAAACACCTTTGAGAACTTCCACACTTGGAACACCATAAGCGCTTCCATACTTGAAACACCCTTGGGTGCTTCCACGCTTAGAACATCCTTCAGCACTTTTGGACTTAAAACACTCTTAGGCACTTCTATACTTAAAACACCCTTAGGCACTTTCGTGCTTAGAACATCCTTGGTGCTTTAGCACTTGTAACGACCTTGGGCGTTTCTGTGCTAGGAACACTCTTAGGCGCTTTCGCACAAGGAACACTGCTGGGTGCTTTTGCGCTTGGAACACTCTTAGATGCTTTTGCATTTGAAACACTCCTGATGTAATTTGTCTGTAACACAGTACTTCAAAATAATTAGCTAAAATTGGACATCTACACCCTTTGTATATCTGAAACTAGTGCGCTAAGTTAGGAGAATAAATGGAGAATACCATTGGGGTCTAAAGCTAATGTTGATGCTGCTATCTTCAAATTAAATGGTGAGGTAAAAGTAGGTGCGGGTTTCATCGTTCGTAATAATCATGCAAATGTTATGCTTGTTGGATTAAATACATATAAAAAAGAGGTGTCCATTGTAGAAGCGGAAATCAAAGCATTAAGTTAAGCATTATCTATTTGTGATCAACAATAGCTACGAATTGATCAGGTGGAGATAGATTGTCTGCAACTGGTCAAATGGTTGAAAGATAAGTGTAGCAATGGAAGATTGGGACACAGAGTGGAAGACTGCATCATGTTATTGGAGAAAAATTAGTGTACACAGGTCCGTCATTGCTCAAGGGAGGAAAATAGGGTGGCTCGCACAATAGCACATCATGCAAAATATACACAGGAAGGTATACTACTATGGAAAGAAAGCATGCAATTGCCCTCTTGTATAGGCCGTGTGTGAGTTAGGATCAAGACTCATTGTAATTTCCTATCTTGGTAAACGAGGGCAATATAAGTGTATACTAGGATGAGTTTTCTTTTTTCCTTCTTATGAATTCTGTCCTATTGGTTTATCATGAGAAAGTTTTTAATGAGGCTCACCTAATATGCAAGTGTAATGTGTTAGTTCTGTATTAGTGTGCCTAAAAATGTTATGTGTGGATTGGATGCATAATTTCAATGATTTGGCATTAAAAAAATGCACCTCCTTTCAAAACAACAAAAGGCATTAAAAAAAAAAAGAAATTCAAACAACAACATAATCATCAGCTACTCGGCCCCGTGCAAGGCCCACCTGGTCTGCTGGCCCGGTGATCATCAGCTTTACGCTGACGGTGTCTGTGGTTTGCTTGCCGCGGAGGAACAAGAGAGCGACAAGATTAATTCAAGAATTTTCATCCATCTGGCCAAAAAAAAGGGTTCTCATTTGCAGCTTTAAACCCAGATTTGTCTCAAGCTCGCTGCAGTCTATAAATGCCATCAGGTTAGCAAAGCCTCACTTCCAGAAACTCTCACAATTTTTCTCTATTTTTTTTCAATTATTTGTTTTTGTTTTTTGAAATTTATCGTGTGCTAATAGCATGTATTTATTAGGATTTGCATCGTGTTATTGTTTTCATGGTTACTGAGGAAGCTGGAAAAAAAAAAGCCGCAAAATGGAGGTGAAGAAATGAATAAATTGCGTTGTACAATTTTTGAGGAAAAATAAACGAGTAAATAGTTAATCAAACCAAATTTATCTATTCATTTGGATAAATTTGTTGGCATTCATTGAAAGATCATGAGTTGTTTGTTTGCTCACATCCACATTTGGGGGAGGGATACTTATCGGTTGATTTCTAACTTTTCTTTTTTTAACCTTTAGCAATGCCTGACTATTTTCTCAAGTGTTAATTCAAAATCCATGTTTGGCTACTGCTACAATCAGATTGGAGTCCCTAAAGGAATAATTCATTTCTTCTAATGAAAAAGATATTACTAGTAAGTTCTTTCAGTAAGCATTTACTCAAAGACCTAGTCATGTTGAAGTGAAATGCAAGAATAGAATATAGTATATGTTTTACTGAAAAATGTGATAGAAATTGCTTTTCCTGAACATAAAAGGTAGCAAAGTAATTTTCAACTTGCACTTTGTAACAACCAACAACATGGGCAGAAGCTGCTGAGGGTACTATTAATGTTATTTTCTATCTGAATGTATAACTGTTATAAAAATGAATACAGAAGCACCTATGCCGATGCGTAGGTGTCTTTGCAAGGTCATGCTTCTTAAGCCAATATGGTTTGGGTATCATGCATTGCACTGCTACTAACTGATAAAAGTAATTAGATTTTCTGCCAAAAAATAGGTAGTTGAGGAGATTATATATTTGGTTAAGGTAGATGATCTATCAAACTGAGAGAAGACCCTACACCTCCATCTGAGAATAGGTTTATACAACAAGTACCATGAAGTTGCAATTAAGAGTAGTAATAGGTTGGTTGGACCTAGATGTCAGGACACCTAAGCTGCTTAATCTTTGGGCCTCAGAACTTCTATATAGATTTTCAAGGTTCCAATTTTTCTGTCAGTCATAAAAATGTTATATTTTCCCTTCCAGAAGTCTGGTAAATATTTAATAACTGAACACTTATGTTAGTTAGAGTCTACAAAATAGTAAGAGCTCTTGATTTACTCAGGGTCCCCAGTTGGTTGTTCATAAAAGGCACTGATTTTTCCTTGTTATAATATTTTTGGCTTTTTATCATGATCAAGGATAGTCAAAGACCTTTACAACTTACAACTTTGAGGCGTTGAATTTGAAAAATTTATCTCGACATATGAAACCTGAAGAGGATGAGAGTTTCAAATTTTACTGTCAATAATAGATAAAAATTCATTGTGCAACCAAAAGTAGCTTGCATCAAACCTAAAGTATCTAGCACAGAGCTGTTTGAAATGATGAATGAACCATTATTTTTTTCTAAATTTCAAATGCTAAACAACCCAATTCAGGCAACAATATTGCTCTTATATTCCTGGCTAAGGTTTGGTTTCAAACCTGGCAAGCCTTCCAGATATAATAAGCGATTTCCTTTTGAAACTGAATGATGCTTTAGTAACATTTGAAACTTTCGGTTAAAAGCTTGGTAGTATGCAAAATTCAGGTCTAATAACTATAAGATGCATGTTAATTGTTTACTGTTTTGCTTCTCTTTTTTTACATTTTCTAGGCTCCTCATCATATTTTGGCATAAAGCCTGTCTTGGAATAGGCAGGACTTGTTATTTGAGAGTAAAATACTTTCTTATTCTTGTTCTTTTTTTTTCCTGCCATTCCAGTGGTAACAGACTTCTGAGGCAAACTCTGGGTAACCTTGTACTTTTACTAATGTCAAGTCCTCAGCAGGTGCCATGAGAGTTTGACATTGACTATAGAGGGGTATGATTTGTGAAGTCAAGTTAGGTTCTAATTTAAACTTGTGCACAGCATAAAAATGGCAAGCTTAGTGTGGATAATATGAGGACTAATGCAGCTAAAGTAAAATCACAAAAGGTTCAGTTAGTTCAGGAACTAACCATTACTATTTCAAATTTCAAAACTTGAGATGAAAAGAAAAAGAAAAAGGAAAAAAGAAATGAAGAAAGGTTCATTTTTCTGTTTGCTTATAACTGACAGTGCGAGTGTGAAAATCACCTCTATGCACTAGGATAGGCCTATTATGTAGAGCGTTTATGAACCTTATGTTGGACATGTACTGCTGAAAATATGTTCGGAAATGGAAATATATATTTGAAATTAATATAAGATGGTCTCTTTTTTTCATACTTAAATTTTCTTTGTATTTCATATATAGTAATATAGATTATCTGGTACATGCAAGAATTTTACCTGCTAAAGACTATTTCCATGCTTTAAGATTTGTTACCTCTTGTAGAGGGTGTACATGTTTTCCTGACCAACTTCTCTTTGTGCATAAATTCAAGCTACAGCCTTTTGAATGCTGGATGCTCTACTTAAGTTAGCAGTTAATTAAGGGATTGTTAATAACACACAATGATTCACTTTATGGCCTAATATTATATTCACGTCTCTGAAATTTCATTGCAGTCTTATATTTTCTGGTTGTTTATATATGCCTGTTTCCATTCCTCCCTTCTGTCCGTTGCATGTTGACGTAAAATTAGGTCTATCTAGGTTAGTGTGTTTTTTGTGTTTAAACTGACCCTTAATTGCGCTGAACAGAATTATCAGAATCTCATGAATGAAATGAAAACACATAGGAGCGGGTAAAGAAAGAAGGAAGAGACTGAGCTCTAAACACAAAATGTTTTTTTGTTCCATTCTTTCTATATTTTTAATGAAAATAACAGCAAGTTGATTCTATTTAACTTATTGAGAAATGTTAATATTTGCAACAGATTATATGTTTCCAAATTAAAGGGTCAAAGATTGTATGCTATGTGTGCCATCTGTTACAAGAGGAAATCTAAGTGGATGATAGAGTTAATGATAGACTGAAACTTACTGTCATTGTATATAAGTTTGCACTTATTGCTTAACCATGTCTTTAAAAGTGGATGCCAATAGAAAAGAAAAAACAGAGTCTATCTTGAGTTTTTGAGTTCCTGCGTATTGTTTTTGTTTTTGTTTCGGCTGGCATAGTATTCATTTCTTGGTTGTGTGCACGTCTGTATTTGGTGGTCAGATATTCATTTCTTGTCTGCTTGATCTAGGCAATGAGAACAGAGAGGCCCTGGCGCTTGATGAAAGCTTAAGAGTAGATGACCTAGAACTATTTTTTGTGGTGAATGAAACATGAAAATGAGATTATGTTAGATTTGGTCCATCTGACTATTGCAGCCATGATCGTGGCTTTAACTGAGTCGGTGAAAGCTATCGAAATCATGTGCCATGGAATACCCATGGGAAGCGACTCTTTGTTCTCATCTAGGTCTGTTGTCTTGTACTTTTAATACTCAATATCTTCCAAAACGATACAGATGATGAATAGAATAAAACACTGTTGTTAACTGTTCTATTATGTGAATGCTACAAAATTGTTGTAGAAAACAGAGAAAGAAATGCATTCTTAATGATAAAATGAGTGAACCCCTTGGCCCTCTAGAAAGCATCTTGTTTATTTTGGAATCATAGATGACTGAAAATCCATTGGTGCAATTTACATTGGCGGTATCCATGTGATAACAATCGGGCTTCGTACTTTGTGCACTCCGTCCTTCCACACCAGACCTCCAAACTCAGGCTCTGTTTGTGGAGATTTTGTTGTGAAAGTGATCTTGTAAGATAGTTTCTGGTTTATTCTTGTGAAATTTAGGGATTTCGGATCAACTTTAACGGTGGCGCCTTTAAATTGTGAAACTACTACATGGTAATTTGAAATAGGAGGGCCAACATTTGTGACAGTTCTGTGGAGGGTCAAAACTGAAATGGCTGTATCTTCTGGGAAGACCACTGAGATTGCTGGGTAGTTCAAGTCTCCTGCACTGGCAAGGGTGTGGTGGCAGAATCTGTTTGAATACTTGCCAAAAACTTTCAGCTGCATTGTTGTTAAGTTCTGTGTGCAGAGGAATTCAAAGTAATCCTGAGCTTCAATGTCATAAACCAAACCTGGGTCTAGAGCTTTCAATGGGTTTATGTGTCCAGCTCCATGATCATATGGAGTTGAAAGTGCAGCTTCCGCTGCATCTTTGAGAGGATTATGGGTATTATCATGAACATAAGCTGTTGTCATCAGAGCAGATTTTATTGCTGCAGGACTCCATTCTGGGTGTCTGGCCTTGAGCAAGGCTGCTATTCCACTCACATGAGGGCATGACATGGAAGTCCCAGATAATATATTGAATTTCACTCTCCTGTGATCTGTTGGAAGGCTTGATGGACCCAATTCTCCAGTCCAGGCAGCAAGAATGTTCACCCCTGGTGCGACCATATCAGGTTTCAGAATTTCAAGTGTGAGGAAATTTGGTCCTCTGGATGAAAATGCTGCCACCACTGGAGATGGCCTAATCCCCAATCTGGTACCAAGAAATGCTAGAGTTGCAGTTGCTTTTCGACTTGTTAAAGCATAATGCTTGATTGCCTTCCCTTCCATCTCTCCCACAGCAACTGCTGGAAGGAGGTGACAATCTGCAACAAGCTCCTCTCCATTTGCAGCTGTGTTTGTCAAAATCATTCCTATTCCTCCAGCATCTTTCACTACCTGACCCTTTTGCACTCGAGGACTTATTCCACGGTCACATATCACGATTTTTCCAGAAACAATATGTGGATCTAAAGTTCCCTCTAGACATAATGAACTTGGATCAGGGCTGCTTGAATTACTACCCATATAAACAATAGGATATTGCTTGTTTGGCGACAAAAACCTCCGGCCTTTGTAGAGTGAAACTCCGGTTAAAGTTCTCCCAGTTCCTAGCTTAACGTCAGCTGGAAAGTCTCTATCCATGGTGCTAGCACCGACTGTAGTGATCCATGGTGATACATTTGTGAGGCTGACAGGATCTGGTCCTCCATTGCCAGCTGAGCAAGAAACAAAAACACCCATCTCCATTGCTCCAAAAGTTGCTATTGCCAAACTGTCACGATAGTAAGATGATACCCCACCACCCAAAGATATTGACAAAACACTTACTCCATCAGCCACAGCTCTGTCAACTGCCGACAGAATATCTGAGCTGAAGCACCCACCAGTCCAACAAACCTTGTAAGCTGCAATTCTTGCACCAGGTGCCATTCCTCTAGCTGTTCCATAGGCATAACCTAGAAGATTTGCTCCACGTACTGGAGAGCCAGCAACAGTAGCTGCTGTGTGAGTGCCATGCCCATCTTGATCTCGTGGTGATTTGTATTCGTTTTTCTCATTGATTTTTCCTGTAGCTGCTTCATATCCCCGATAGAATACTCTTGCACCCACAATTTTCCTATTGCAGTGATGCTTTTCAAAGCCTCGTCCAGTTTCACACGCTCCTTTCCAGTGCGCAGGCACTGATGCCAACCCTGTATCATTAAAGCTTTCACTTTCAGGCCAAATTCCGGTATCAAGCACTCCAACTATGACATCATGGTCTGCAAGTTTTTGAGACCAGATGCTAGTGCTTTCTTCTGGTTCCAATCCAAGGAACGTGGGACTCCTTGTAGTGTGCAGTTGATATTTCATCTCCGGAAGTATAGCAACTACACCCTCTTCTTCTTCTAGCCTGTCAGCTTCTTCTTCAGTTAACTGAGCAGCAACTCCGTGAAAAGCATTCTGGTAGCTGTAAATTATCCTTTCTCCATCTCCATCACCTTCGCTCTGGGTGTTGGACATAATTACTGACTTTACTTTTGAGGAGTACCATTCTAGATGAGTGGAGAATAATGCTGGCATCGCAGACTTGTCCATTTGGACGATGAAAGTCTTCTTTATCAATGGGTTGCTTGCCGAGAGGGCGAGAGCAAAGGAAAGACAGCTTGTTAGAATGAGAAACAGCCATTTTACTGGGTTTTCAGCCATTATCAGGCAGAGAAAAAGGTTTTTTGGAAGGGGGAGAGCGGATGCAGAACAAATATGAGAAGGTTTGTGGTACTGGTGTTTTTGAGACTAGAAATATCTGAAGGGAGGGAGGGACCTTTACTCTGTCTTGTGTGCTGGAAATTAAGGTGGTTGGTGATTCTTGAATGCCAGTTGGATGGAGTTAGGAAACTTGACTGGTGAGGTGGTAGAAGTTAAAGCTGGTTATGGTCCTTGTGCGGAAAGGTTTCTCATAGTCTTGGTAATAGCTTGTCCCTATGGTTACCTTAACATATCATGTAGCCCACACAACACAAGCAAAGGGCGATCCTGGAAGGTTGGCTACTTTTCACAAGAGTAAATCAGTGGTAAATCCATGAAGCTTTGAGCGTCGTTGGATTTGGAGTTGTGATCTGACACAGAATTATTTAATGCTATTGGTGTTTTTGTTTTCTAATCTATGGTCACTCGGTCCCCACGATCACAGTATGCATGTGCTCACGCATCTGTGTGCTGTCCAAGTGTGAAAATGTTATTACTACATTCTTTTATAAAATAATAATGCGAAAATATGGAATTTAGCTACTCCTTTTTGGGAGAATCGTAATACCATTTTTTTTCCTACAATTCGTCCACCAAATATGTTGAAGATGAACAAGGCTTGCCATGTGGAGCTCTTACTTTCCCTTCATAGTGAAGGACAGAAGAATTTATCACATGTAAGGTGCTGAAAAAAACTTCGTTGATAGTTGTCTCATTCCCCGTTTGCTTTCCACCTTATCCCACTGTTGAGTATCAACTTGGAATCTGATCAATTCTATGTACGAAATTTCATTGAGAATGCATAAACAATTAACAAGTTAATATGCTTGCTTCACAATTCACATGCACATCACATCGGAAAAAAACCAAAAAGAAAATAAGGGGATTCCAATCGAGGAAAAAGCTTTGACGGTAATAAGAAAAACATCACATCGATGGTTCATGCTTGCATTATGGTGATGGCATTGCATCTGGATCGTGTATAATTTCAACTCGCCTTGGTTTTGGTGTTTTCCTTAAATCGAGGACCCAAAATTAAGATGTCCGTTGGTGCTTTTATTTCTGTAGAGTAAAATAATAGCCCCCGTAGAGCTTGGGACTTGTCCCTTCAAGCCGGTCCCAATGGAGGGTGAGAATTGAATTTTCCGAACACTTCATTTTTCCCGTACATGCATAGGCGGCTAAGGCCCAGGGCCCCCGCTTATGGCAGTGACTACTTACTACAAATTAACTGGATAGGATGGGGTGGGTTAGGACTTTTTAGGATACATGTACACATGGGAGAAGGTTGGGTTCTGTCCTGTGGCCTAAGTAGATGCTGCATGTAGTTATCTACATTTTGAAAGACATGGCAACTTCCCCAAAATATGGTAAAAGAACTGCATTTCCGGTGCTCTTTATTGTTTATTCAGCCTTATTTTAGCAAAAGTTGAAGAGCGCAACCTCTGGTGAGTCATAACCTCATCCAATAGTTTCAATAATGAAGTAAAGAGCGTAAAAAGATTAAGGTGAAATTGCAATAACTTAATTAGGCTAGGTGAGTGCTTGGGTCTTCCCTCACTAAAATACTACTTACTAATTTATAATAATAATGGTTTTACTTTTCAGAACGAAGCATGAGCAAATAAAGAAGCAGCACCATCAATACCGTCTTACTAGTAACTCAGCTCATGTGCATATGCCTTTCCGGAAACTGTAAAAACGACAACCACAGCAAGCAGTGATTAATGGTGGTGTTGAAGAGTCCCTCTCTCATATTTAGTGCTGGTAGCAGTCTGTTCAACATCCCCATATCAAGCATTTATGTCCATGTTTAAAGCCATCACAGCGGCAACGGCAACTTTCAAACCCTAAATCTTGATGGGAGAAAAGCAGCAGTGCCTTTATTACTCCCATCTTCTCTCGTTGAATTCCTGTTGGGGCCTCTTCGAATCAATCAATACACAAAAATTTGGAGTGGTCGAATGCATATATGGTTAACAGGTGAAAGGGTCAGGGCCTCGGTGGAGAGGGCTGTTCAATACTTGAAAATCCAATCAGTCCCATTGCTGTCATCACCACGTGACCATTTCTCCTACTGTTCATGTTATCATCTATCATTTTCCCATTGCTCCCGGTTGTATTTATCACTAATTAATGGCGAAAATTATAATAAATTGATATTTGATCACGAGAATGAAAAAAAGTGGAAGGACTAAAAT